GTCTAGCCAGTTGCAAACTTGGTTCAGAGACCCTCTCTCAAAAAACAAGGTGGGGAGCTGTAAAGAGAGACAACCTATGTGGACCTGTGGCCTTCACAGGCACCCTCCCCACCTTACCCATCCCTCACCCCATCCCTTTCCCCCACCCAAAAAATAGCTCAGTGTGTTTACTCAGAACTGGCTCTTTTAAGAAACCTGATTTACAAGAAAGCTAAAGTTTCACTTTCACTTTTAGTTTCGTTTTTTTAAAAATAGTTTTGTTTGTTTGTTTGCTTTTCTTTTTCACGACAGGGTCTCACTTTTGTAGCCCTGGTTGTCCTGGAGCTCACTATGTGGACCAGGCTGACCTCCAATTCATAGGTATCCACCTGCCTCTGTCTCTGGAGTACTGGGATTAAAGGCGTGCGTCACCAAGCCGGACCATAGATTTGTTTTCCTATAAACTCTAATCCCAAAGTGAGCACAAAATCCAGAGAGACAGGCGATACCTCTTTGGTTTCAGAGCGGAGGTGGGCAGGGTTTTCACACAAGAGGGCGGGCCTCCGCTGGCTATAAAGCTGGGGGACTGGGGGGCCTCCAGCCACAAACCAGGCAGCACTTCTTCCTGTCGCCGCCAGTCTCCCAGCCTACAGGTAGGGAGCGTCTTCTCGCCGAGTTCCGGAACGGGCAGCTTGCAGGGCAAATTGGAGCCAGAGTCCTAGACCCTTTGAGGATGGAGAGAGGAAAAGGCAACAAGGAAATAGGATGGGTTAACAGGCAGCAGAGCCGATTGCCGGGCACAGTTAAGAGCTCTGAATGCGCAACTCGTCTGGTGATAAGGCACTGCTAGCGTTAATGCCAGTTTTGTGTGCGACTGACTGTGTGTTTGTGAATAAGCTGTCTTGGGGTAGGCAGCTGGGTCAGAAGAACGGGTCCTAGGGCGACTTTGTTAACTAGCGATGACTGGGTAAGTTGTCCCACTTGAAGCATCTCCTGAGGTCCCTTCCTCTGCCAAGATACAGGGCGCTGTAGCCTGAGACTTTTACTCTATCTGTCCAGAGGACGTAAAGAAGTAAAAGTACGGTGTTCTATCTTGTTTATTTTTAATCTGAATAAATGATTGCTATGTTTTCCTATGAATTAAATAGTCAGGTTTTTTTTTTTAATTGCTACATCCCATTGTGCTGGATAACTAAAGGGCATCACTCTCTCATTGATAGGTGCACAGGTTAATTTAAGCAGGTTACTAGCCCAGTCGTTCACTGATCATATACCACGTGCAACTGCCTGGAACACGGCTAGGTATTTCCTTCAGATAAACTCTTATAGCTACCTAATTATGTCAGGGTATCTGAAAGACCTTTGTATGGAATATAAAACAAAACTGAAGATTCGTTCCCGAAAGTATATGCAGCTGCCAATGACAGTGACTAGGAATATTTAAGGAGAACTTTCTACTTTGCAAATATTAGCCTTTTCCAATTGTACAGCATAGGTAGTTACAGGCTTTTAGGTGGGACCGAGAGGGACACAGGTTTTAGGATCATTTAATAAAATTTGAAAATTTGGTATATCTTCACTCTTACTTTTGAGAAAGGAAGCTTGCATCTGCTCCCCTCCTGCTCTCATGGGAAGATAGAGAAGTGGTGTTCCATGATATTTTTCTGGACTTTCCCCGGGACAAACCTATTTCCCCATCTTAAAGGAGCCATCATTTCTTCCTCAGTCAGTACTTCCTTGCTGTGTCTCTGCTCTTGGCTGGGAATTCATGAAAAGTTACAATTCTTGCCGGAGGAAAATGATCCTGTGCTCTTAGACCCACTAAACGGAGCAGGTGCCAAGGTCACAGACATGGTCCCTGGACTTCCTCTTTTTCTCTCACACTACCGAGAGCTGCACTCTGGGGGCCAGGGAGGAGAGGGTATGATACTGAATAAGGTGACTATTGGGCCTAATCCATAACCTTTTAGTAAACCTTTATCGTACTAAGCTTTTAAAGCAGATTCATAATTAATGGATAACTATTCCAACCAAGTCTACTGTCAATATTGACAAAATCAGGCATGGCCCTGTAGTCCTTCAACAGATATCAGATACCTTGGTATGACTCTCCAGTACGTGGCTTGGCCATTTTCTCCTACAGCCTCATTGCCACAATTGCTGTGTCCTGACATCCTCACCAGCCTGGATGTCATCACATCCTTGGACAGATGACTGGAGGGAACAATTTTAAATATGTGTCTAATATTAGCAAGAGGATAATGAGCTATTTTACTTTGCTCTTTTGATAAATGCCCCCCCCTTTTAAAGACAGAGTCTCACTATGTAGCCCAGGCTGACCTCAAACTCAAGATCCTCCTGCCTCAGCCTCTCAGAAGCTGTTGCATCTGCTCTTTTTCTAATATCAAGGGTTCATAATAGCCAATAAGAAGCCTATGACCTTAACAGACAAAATAATTTAATCAGACAATTATCAAGAACTAAACATTTCTTCAAAAAATTCAAGTTGTGTTTCTCAAGAATAGAATTAGCAAAAAGTTTTAAAATGTCAGCGCTGGGTGAAAACACAATGGTACCAATTTTCACAACGCGTCACGAATATTGGGAAAGTCCTTTTTCTCCCTTGGTCAGCAAGTCTCTTTAGGGAACTCTACCTTCCAGGCCTAACCTTGGACCTGGCACACAATAGGGACTCACCAAATTGGCTAAATACACAAATACTTACAATTTTGACATGAGTGGCACCATGGGCCATCTCTGTCTCTGCCATCAGGTGCTGTCCTATGCCTGGGGAGAGGTCTTGGTAGCATTCCAGCCTCTATTTTATCACATCAGTATCAACTCTCCTCCTCCCAAGCAAACTTCGGCAACCAAATATGTTAGCTGATATTACCAAGCATTCCCTGAAGGAGTGTATGTTATGCACTTACATTAGTTTTTATGACAATAACAACAAAACATAAAAATAAACTAATGTGGTCATTCTACCTCAGTGAAGATGTCTAGACTCCATTTCTAGGGGCTTCCCATGGAATCACTTTGTCCGCCAAACACTCAGAAGTTGAAAGCATTAGTTTTTTCTTAGAATAATAAAAGTAAAACGTTTGTTTATTCACTCATTTGAAAATTGGGCACACACACACACACACACACACACACACACACACACACACACACACACACACACACACACACACACACACACGAAAAAAGAAGAAACCATTCATGATTCTATCTCTCTTCTTCTGTCTTTCTTTCTTTAAAAAATGATAAATGGGTGAGAACTTACCTGTGCTTCCTGCAAAAGTCACATTTCACAGCAGATAATCATGGTTAGGGTTGTTATAAACCACAAGTATAGTTTTGCTTTATACACTGCCTCCAAGTTCCTTCCTACATCTTCACAAACTCATTCCCTATGCATGTACTAAATTCTGTCCTTCATGGTATTTTGAATGTATACAGTTTTATTTTGCCATTAGGCTACATGGGGTGTTTCAAATCTGGAGCTGCTGTCACCCATGCCATCCCTGTTATATTTGTGTTTACTTTTTTCCATATGGTGAATTTCTAAGTCAGGAATAAAGAGCCATATGGTATACATAGTTAAAGTTTTAACAGAGATTACCAAGGTGATCTTTAAGAAGCTATACAATTTCACATCCTTACCAATGGAAAGTCAAGAAATACTGTCCACCTGTATTTTTCCTAACTATGAGGAAGCTATAATTTTGGTCGAGCAAAAGGTCAACAATGTTACCATAAATCTCCAATATACATTCTTAGAAAGAGCATCCTTTCCTATGTTTGTATTTATTATTCTCTGAACTATGCGGGGCTCTTGTTCATTTTCCTCTTGACCCATGTATCGTTTTCTTACTGAGTTTTAGAGAGTGAATACCCAGCAACCCTAGTCTTCTGCTGTATATGCCTGTCAAATGGATTGTGTATAGTTAGGGAGATGCTTCCTGGGAAAACTGACTTTCCTGTGAAAGTTGTAAATGTGAATGACACTGGAGAGAGGAAATGTTAATGAACATGGCTGGGGTGTAGCTCTAGCTTTCGTTGACCACTCTCTTCTTTGGACATCAGTTCCAAAGAAGAATGGCTTCTGTTTCCTGCTCACTGCTCCTCCAGTGCCCTAACTAGTGCCAGACTCAAGAAGAGATATTCAGGGTTTACTGAGTGAATTAGGAAAATGTCAGCACAATGGAAACTAGGATCTAGACAGCTACATCTCAGAGAGTGGTCCTGAGGCACCCAGACCTTAGTAAATGGGCCAAATAGAATTCTCCTCTCTTCCCACTGCTGTTATTGGTATACCTACTCTCTTTATTGGGGAGAAGGATTATAATCTGGAGTAGGGGAGAAGCACAGGGGAGGGAGATTTTTAAGGGGGTAGGAAGCACTGGAAAGTGAAAGTGAGAATCAGATTTTCTTTGCTGTGAAGTTTTGCCTAAGGCAGGTTTTACAGATCTTGAAAAGGGCATGGTGCAGCTGGAGGAGCTGGGAAGGTATTTTTCCCTTGGCTTATTTTTAATGTACATTATTGAATGTGGGGAGGGGCTTATAACTCAATATACAAATGTTCATCTCATCATACTAATTTCTTTTCACTTGGTTCTGTATAACCTTGAGTTATGAAATGAAAGTATTGACCTTTCAACTTTGCAGCTGTGTTTCCACACTTACAAATCAAAACTGCTTCAATTACACCTGGCTTGTCTGTGCTTTTCGTACTGGCTCTTAGGAGTTATTTATCTATGAGAAGGACAAATCTTATACGGGTGTCACATTGTTCAGCTGTTTGAATTAAGCAGTGCTCTTTCTGTGTTTCCCATTACTAGACAGCTCAAGAAACATGAGGGTATGCGCCATTGTTGCCATCTTCACAGTCTGCTGTCACTTGGTAAATGGTAAGTCACCAAATCTTTTCAGTGGGTTCTGTATTTTCAATATTCTAGCCATGAGTTAAAAATTGAAGTAATTTGTGTGTATGCATATGAAGTGTGTGTGTGTGTGTGTGTGTGTGTGTGTGTGTGTGTGTGTGTGTGTGCGCACGCGCGCGCGCGCATTTGCTAGGCACACATGTGGAGGTCATAGGATAGCCTTGAGTGTTTGTCCTCACCTTCTAGCTTGTTTAAGACAAGTTCTCTTATTTGTTGTTCATTGCTGAGTACTGCAGGCAGCTGGCTCCAAACTTTCTGGGGATTCTCCTGTCACTTCCTCCCATCACACTGTAGGAGAACTGAGATTGAGATGGCAGGCACACACTACAGTAGCTGGTTTGTACATAGGTTCTGGGATGTGAACTTGGGTTCTCATGTTGCACAGCAAGTAGTTTACTTACTGGGTGATCACCCAAGCTCCTGCAATAATTTAAAGGAACATACTTTGTTTGTTAAAAAGCACACTCTAGTTTTCCTTCTTCATAAACAAGTTACTTGTATCATTGTAAAAGATGAAGGAAAATACAGGAGCTGTAGGTATAATTTAGTAGTGGAACACTTGCCTGGCCTGAGCAATGTTCTGGAGTCAATATCCCAGCACTAGAAACAAAAAAACAGGGAGGGGTGAAGCTAAAAATACAGGTAATACAAAACAAAAAGATTATCCATTTCCCATGAATAACTTATGAAAATTTCTGGGGAAATGACCCAATGGTAATATACTTTTATTTATTGGTTCCTTTTAAAGAAGATTGGGAATATACTAATTCGCTTGCATTCTTCCCAATGAAGATATTTCCAAGAAGAATTTTAGTGTTCATGCAACTCACCAGATAAAGTGATTACAACCATAAAGTGATTGTAACCTTTTACCCATTTTACAAATGTGCTTGGAGGACTTTTCCGTCTGCTGAAGGCTGGTCTTCTTTCTTTCCAGCATTTACTATCACGGTTCCCAAGGACCTGTATGAGGTAGAGTATGGCAGCAATGTCACACTGGAATGCAGATTCCCAGTAACACACCGGCTGGAACTGCTTTCGTTAGTTGTCTACTGGGAAAAGTACGACAATCCAGTTATTCAGTTTGTAGATGGAAAGACAGACCTGAAGCAGCAACACTTAATGGGGAGATTCTGGTTGCCAAAGGAGCAAATTTTAATGGGAAATGCTGGGCTTCAGATCACAAATGTGAAACTCCTGGATGCAGGTATTTACTGTTGCATGATCAGCTACGGTGGAGCAGACTACAAGCGGATCACGCTGAAAGTCAATGGTAAGAATTCTCCCGGTAACGAAGCCTTGACCTGTATTTAAGACATCTCTGTCATGTTGAGAGCTTTTCACTGTTGGAAGTCCACACCTACTTTTCACAGAAAACTAAGTCTGTTTATTCATTCATTCATTCATTCATTCACTCCATCAATGAATACTCCTAGCACCTGTGTTTGACAGTAATTGGAGATCCAGTAATAGATAATACACAGCCATGCTCTGCTCTGCAGTTCTGTAAGATTTCAAAGATTAAATGCCAGGTGTTTGCATGCATATACTATTTGTGTATCCCTCCAGAACCTTTGTATTGGATTTTTAAAAATTCTATCAGGCTTAGCACATTTTCCTTTCTTTGGGTATCTCCATACAAAACCAAATACAATGTATATACATACATACATACATACATACATACATACATACATACTGCCTACTGTAAGGTTCACATTCAGATGCAAATGATGATAAGTATAGAAGAAGCCATTCTTTCACAGAAATGGTACAAGCTGCACATCTGTCTCCGAAGCTTGTATTAGTGTTACTTGGGAGTGTTGAGGAAGAACTGCTAGTTAAGTTCCTGGATAAGGACCCACAAAAAAAAAAAAAAATGTCATCAGGTCACTTGAGTTCAAGGTTTGGGACTGGAACTAGCTAAGGAAAGGGAAATACCTTACTAACCACCCCTGCTTTCACTGTTGGGTTTCACAGAACTGAGAGCTGCACCCATCCCAGGCATGCACACAGACAATTCCAGTGCCTGCCAAAACCAGGAATCCCCCAAGGCATCCCATTGGCATCCCTCCAATTTGGAACCCCCTTCGGTGGTCCCCTGAAACTTCTCCCTGATTGATAGTGAGCTGAATTCTGTCTTCTTCAAGCTTAAATTTGAGATGATCTGCCTGCTTCTTTTTATTTTCATAATAAGTTTTTAAATATCCACTAAAATTAGATAATCTCCCTTGATCTTTTTATTCCTAAGCTAGTGTGAAGGTCAATATATTATTAATAGGAAAAGTTCACGTTTCTCATAAGGGATCAAGATAACTATTACCTAAAAATTATATAGAGATAGGAAAAGTGTGCCCATTTGATGGTATATTAATGGATCTCTGATGTTGGATCACTTAGAGCTATCATAGTTATGAAAATATCACTTGTCTTTTAGGCTTTATGGTCATTGCCTTTTACTTACAATTTTTCATTTGTGACCTTCATGAAAGAAGGAATGTGGTTGTTCATAAATTGAGCATGTGTTAGTACATCAGCAAATATGAGGTATCTATTTTGTTCCAAGACATTTAAAGGAATTATGAAGCCCGAAGGTCATTAACAGTCAAGGCCATTAACAGTCAAGTCAAGCTGAACCTGGAGTGGGGGAAAGAACAGCCCCTGCAGTCAGGAAGAAGGAAGCATGGAGTTTAAGTCTGTGTCCAGAGGTATCTCATGGCTTCTTGAGAGTAGCTGATTTTGTGGTGAGGAAGAATGTATTCTAAATTATCTGCTCAATAATATCTCTGATGCAAAAGGCAACCTTCTGGAATTGCTGGCTTCTCCGTGAAGGGATCTCTGATGGGGCAAAGGTGATAACCAAGGAGACTTGAAGGTCTTCTTGTTTTCTTTTAGACATTGCTACATTGGCGTTCTGCTCCCAATTCATCTTGTCATTTGCTTTCAGTCAGTGCTTTCAGAGCTTAGCTGAGCTAGACCAAGTATCTGGACCTTGGCTTTGGTGTGTGTTGTGGCTCAAATCTGTAATCGTGGCTATTTGGGAGGCTGAGGCAGGAGAATCACAGTTTTGTGTCTTGTCTAGGATATATATCACGTTCAAGAGCAGCCTGGGCAAATTAGCAAGATCCTTTCTACAAAAAAATAAATAAAAATAAAAATGGGAACTGGACTGAGGACATAGCTCAGAGGTAGAATACTTGCCCAGCATGTGTAGGACCCTGTGTTTGATCCCTAGCACGTTGGTGGCTGGCACATAGGAGCTTTGCGTGCAGAGGAAGTAGAACTCCTGAGTCATCTCCTATGCAAATGATTTCACAGTAAGGCTGCCCCTCTTCTCTTCCCATCTGTAAGTGTGTGGTAATACAGCTTCCCGGGAGGGAGTTAACCCACCATGGGATTTTAAAGGTGAAGCATTTCAAAACTGAAATCTGGAAGGGTGTAGTTTTGTATTAACTCAATTATCATTATCTCTTTGGGTGCTATTATGCTTCCAGAAGACCCCATGCATCTGGATTTCAATTGAAATCTTTAGCTTTAGTCACTGAACTTAATATCAGAAAAAAAATGAAATGTCCATTTAATATTGCTGGGACCTTAAATGATATTAAGCAGCTGTAGGAAACACCTTAATCATCTGGATAAAAGATTAAGGATTGTCATGGCTCAGCAAATCCTTGGACCCTGTTTAAATCTTTTCTATGTCATCTATCCCTATCTAACGTGCCTCGGGATATCATATTTACTGTCTTGTTCCTTCTTCTTGAACACAAACTGCAGGGTCAGGGGTTTGGGTCTGTTTTATTCATTGTTGTACCCCTAGGCCTTGGCATATAATGATGTTCCAGTACAGTAAGAAAAGAAAATAACATTTGTTAAAGGGAGAGATGGTTGTTTCAAAAATCATCAGCTGAAAACACTTGCTATATGAACAGGGTTGAATATGGGAAAATTTATTTCCTAGACTGTTTGTTGTGAGCTATGAGAACTTTCTGAAGAGCCACTGAAGTAGTGATGAAAGGGGGAGAAACAGCTGTGCTTATGGTCCTCCTCATCTGACTGGTGATGGCAGGAGCATTGTTATAGTTAACACTTATGCAACTCCTAATCTGTGTTAGGCCATGCCCTGCACTCTTTGCTTATATGAATCCACTTAACCTTTAACATGATTTTATGAAGGAAGCACTTGATCATGGCCATGCTATTTTTTTCCTATTTACTATCTTTCAAATATGAATGTGTCTTTCAATAGATGACATCTTAGATTCAATGATACATTATTCTTCCCATTTTAAGATTTTAAAAGTTGAAGTCTAAAGAAATAATGCAGTTTGCCCAAATTCTACCCAGCTAAAAATTGTAAAACCAGGTTCTAAACCTAACTAGCCTGTTTCTAAAATCTATGCCCTTACTGTGCTTTGTTGACCATCTTTGTACTTCTGGAGTGTGCATCAAGCTTAGAACAGCTTTAAAACTAACTCGAACTTTTTGTGGTTTTGATCAGTAAACTAGGTAGCATAGTGTTCTAGATTTAAACCAGAGGTTTCAAAACAAACAAAACAAAACTTGCTTGTCTCCCCTTTCTGTAAAGTATTATAAGCTTGTGCATGATTATAAACAATAAATTTGATGCCAATGCACGGCTTATATAGCGTAAGAAATTGTCATTTTGAAGATCAAAAGAAGATAACTGTCTCTGATTTCATACAGTTGGTTCAACCTAATACATGATAACATTCTTGAAATGGACATAAATAGACATCTTGAAAGGAGAAGTAAATGGAATAAACAATATGTGTAATGTCTTGCCAATTGTGGTAGCATCAGGCTATGTTATGATGAAATTCGTCATTAACAAATGGAGATGGTCTCAATAATCTTGAAGTTTATTTTAATCAATACTTTCTCCTATCCAACTCAGTGTTTTTTTTTAACTTCAGAAAGTGGTTGTTTTGCTTTGTGTTGAATTGTTAGCCTTATCTTCAAGCCTCCGTTTCTGCAAGGAGACTTTTGAATGAGCTCATTTTTTTAAAAAAAAAAAAAGGTTAGTTCAATTAAAAGTAGACAAAGGAGATGGTTCCTTAGCTTATCTGGTAGAGTGCTTGCCTACCATTCATGAAGTTTTGGTTTAAAACCAGGTGTGGTGGTTACACTTGCCTGTAATTCCAGCACTCAGGAGGTAGAGACAGATCATCTTTGGCCACATAGCAAGTTCAAGGCTAGCCCGGTCTACATGAAACTCTTTCTCAAAAACAAAACAAAAAAAAATAGACAGGAGAATTTGAAAAATCCATAGTAACCTAAATATGAATCAATACCCTCCCCTCTTCCTGTGGCAGTCAGTAAGGTACAGTGACTGCTGTCAACATGTGTGAGGCATAAGTAATTTAACAGGTACTATATCAAACACGTAAGTAGAAGTTCTAATGTTTTCTTGTGGCATCTTCACACATGTGCCCATCTCAGAGATGAAAGCTGTGGAGGTTTAATCAGTTATGGATGGATCTACTCATTAGTTCACCATGTCCTCTAAATGAAGCACTGTTCTCCTTCAATTAACTCCCAGGAGAAATGATAATAGAAGGCAAATATTTCATTCCAAACGTTTTATCATTGACAGTGATTTTAAATTTAAACCTTTAATTTCCCAGAAAAACTAAGTCATGTGCAATGTGGGATAGACCCTATTGTGGTGACGTTATTTCATGAGTCATTATGCCTATTTCAATAGGGCAAAATTGGTGATTTCATTTTTAATTAATATGATGAATACAAGCCTGAGGGCTCACGTGCTCATAAAAGCCCCTTACTTTTGTGTTTTCAAATCATAATTATACCTATTTTATTGATGGTTATTTTCTTGATTCAAGGGCAACAAAACTTCCTGTCATTATTTCAGTTTTGTTTTATCCTAATTGCTCTGTGTCAAATTTCTGTGAAGATATACTACAACGCTCTTATGTCTTTGGCTAAATAGATATAGTTCATGTTTAGATAGGAAGACCTTTGGTTTCAAGATGATAATTTACTTTATTTAGTTGATAGATTTAGTTTGAGCCCAACAAAACACATCAATGTGATTATTACAGCAATGTGATTGTTCCTTAAGCCCAAACTTGGCCTAGATTTGAGCAGAAGACCTGAGTCAGACTAACAAACACTCCCTGCAGCCAAAATAGCTGAGCTGGAGACATAGTTCCCCAAGAACTGGCCCAAGTTGATACTCTTTGTAACACCTGCAATGGGAGAGAGCCCTGACCTCTTTTTGCTTATGGCTTAGCCCCATACCGAAAAATCAACCACAGAATTTCCATGGATCCAGTCACATCCGAGTATGAACTAACATGTCAGGCTGAGGGCTACCCAGAAGCTGAAGTCATCTGGACAAACAGTGACAAACAAACCCTGATTGGCAATACTACTGTCACCACCTCCCAGACAGAGGAGACTCTTTTCAATGTGACCAGCACTCTGAGGATCAACGCGACAACTAATGATGTTTTCTACTGTACTTTTTGGAGATTACAGTCGGGGGAAAACCACACAGCTGAGTTGATCATCCCAGGTAAACTGACTAACTCTGTCCCTTGTCCCCTAGGATGATGACTGCCCATCATAGTCTTTCAGTAGTAGCTGGCTGAGTGCATGAATAAACAATACTTATGTTTCTAAATGTATGCTATTTTCTTGCATGCAAGCTATAATGCTACTTAGTAAACATTCAACAAGTATTTACTGAGTATTCACCTGTGACAAACTGTATGTTAGGCATTGAGGATCCATAGATGACGAGGACAAAAGTCACTGTGCTCCAGCAAAACAGGGGACAGCTGAAGTGTAGGAAACACTCTTGTATCTGGGGCACCAGATGGGAATGACTCAGCTTATGCTTCAGGAATTGAAACCTTATCACACGGAGCTGCCCTCTTCTCTCTAGGCCTTCTGCAGTAGGGAGTGAATGCGTTGTCCTTCCCTCTTATTCTCCATATGAAGGATTCTTTCCCCCTGTAACCCTCTTTGAGGCATTCTCTGATGTCTCAACTCCAGGAAATCTGCCTTGTGCCTAGAACATGAGGCTCATGTCTCTTGGCAACCTACTAGATTTCTATGTAGTTTGCTCTCCCTGTAAGGGTTATAAGTCACCAGGCAAGGCTACTGTAGGGATCAAATGAGCTGTAGTGTATGCAAATTATTTGAGATCCTTGCCTGTGTAAGTTCAGCTGTTTTGTAAACTTGTTAGTTTACTGAAACAGGTGGGATGGATAGGGACAGTCAAGCTCAGAGCATTATGAGGACATAAATCCAGAGATATTCTGAGGAGAGTTGCTTCTGCCTCCATTTGTCCCTTAGTGTACCTCGACAGCAGTGCTCTAATACGTTTAGAGAAAATAAATAAAACTACAGAGAAAAGTCAACTAATATGAAAATTCAGCCCCGGGTGGGTTTGGAACCAGAGAGAGCAGACAAATTTAGAAAACAAGGAAGATATTCTAACTGGAATTGGACTCTCTCATAAAAGCTGCATTACTAGATTCCTGCCATTAAATGCTGTTTCATGAGGCTGGAGATGTAGCTCAGTTGGGAGAGTACTTGTCCAGCATCCACAAAGAGCAGGTACCCAGCACCAGATAAGCCTGGTGATGTAGGGCTCACCTGTAATCCAAACACTTGGGTGGTGGAAGCAAGAGAATCAGAAGTTCAAGGTCATCCTCAGCTGCTTGGCAAGTTCAAGGCCAGCATGGATTACAAGAGACTCTGCCTCAAAAAGAAAACAAACAAACCATCATAATAAAACAACAAAAAGCTGTTTATTTGTGGGGCATCCTGGAGTAACTTACTTAGCCACTCTGTCTTCTTGTCTGTAACTTGTGTTTTGTTTTTCTAAGAAATACTTGGTAGGTCTAGCATAATGTTACTTTGAAATGTAAATAAAATATGTGTGAACAGGTTTTATAGACTGTGTAGTGAAGTATTGTAGATCTCAGTTGATTCATAGTAAGGACATAGGAACTGACTTACAACAAGAGATAGGAATTGTCAATCCCAAAGCATCCTTGTGCTATGAGACCCATCTTTCACAAGACGTCAGACAAAGAAACTGACAAGAGATGCCAATGACTAGAATGTCCAGAGAGTTTCAGACGTGGGAGAAGAAAAGCAAGCATTGGTCCCTGATCATGACCACAGGTGTGGGAGGCTAAGGCTGTTTAACAGTGCCTAGTGCTCCCCCATATTCTAGAGTAGGCCTTCCATGCTGTGTTGGCTGTTAGAATCTATATTAAACAGTGTACAAGGAACTTACTTCACTGAGCTCACCATGTAACTAATAGTGCAGTCGCTTTCTGTGGCACTAGGCTAAATATGTCACAGACAGCCTCACAAGAAATTCCTAGAATTTCCATTTTATAGGCTGGATAAAGGACTTTTGAGGTTTCAAAGACAATCTGAAGCAGCAGAATCCAGTCTCTTGCATGTGTGCAAGCCTGGATCCTTCCAGACCTTAACTGGCCATTAGCTTTTAGTAATTAAGATTATCCTAAAGCCAAACTAGATTTCAAGAATGATCATTCTCCTGACTATTTCTTATCAAAACTTTATCTTTAGTCAGCATCTTTTTATTTCGTTTTTTCAGAACCACCTGCAGAATTTCTCCCAAATAAGAGGACTCACTGGGTACTTCTGGGATTGCTACTGCTGTTTCTGGTAGCATCCATAGTCATCATCTTCTGCATAAGAAAACAAGGTATTCCCTTCATTGCGGTGGTTTCTGTGCTGCCTATGGGGAAGTACATGAGGGTCTTCTTGCCACGATACTGAGTAGGCAGTGCCAGAGATGGTGTTCACCCTGACTTGATAAGGGCAGCCCCACACCACAGGGAGATGCCTGTCCCAACAGGCTAGCAGAGCAAGCGTCTCTGGGAAACACTTGGCCTTTCACTTTCAGGGCTCACTTTCAGTTAAACAAAGTAAGTAGGAGCTGTGACTCCAGTGAGCCAGTGTGCTAAGTCTTCCTTTAGTCCTGCTTATAGTGGGAAATTACCAATACGGAGTCAGGTAGAAATATAAGGGTATTTAATAGGGAAAAGCCTTACTTACAGAGCGAACCAGCCAGCCGGTGGTAGTCTGTACAGCAAGAAGCAAAGAGAAACCGAAAACGAAACGCAGTCCCCCTACTCACTCTCACCACGCCCTCACAAGCCCTCAGGTACTCCTGTAGCCAGCCCCTAAGAAGGCGTGGCTACAGCTTCCCCTACACCTGCTCCTGTTGATGTTTTGTAACATCTACCTGGGACTGTGGCCTTGAACCATGGTGCATTTTGGAGGGGTATGAGTTGGACAAGGGCTTAGAGAAGCTAAAATAGTTCTCAAGGTAGCACTTCGGGGTCCAATGTTGAGTAGTTCACAGTAAGGCTGCTGTGTGTAGTGCAGAGGTGAGGTAAAGGGTGGGTAGCCATGGAGGCTGAAGAAGACCTCCATAAAGTTTCTTTCTACATGCCAATAGCCACAGACTTTGAAGAGCCCCTTGGTACCTATTGGTTTCAGTTGAATTCAAGGCATTCCTTGTGACATCCTATTGAGTTAGATTCTGGGTACCTTAAGTTGGAAAACATTTCTGTCTCAAACTTGTATCTTTACCACAAAGAATTTCTTTTACAAGATTTCTGGAGGCAATATGACATGTTGTCTTAAATACTTTTCATGTACTTATTTCAGTGTTTACCCATAAGAATGATTAAAATCTAGGAAGACAAGTACATTCAAATGATGTCTTCCTGTTGTAAGATGACTTAGAATAAACATTTCCCCCCAGTGCTTTGAGATTCATACCAAGAGAGCCAGTGATGTATGCATTTGTCTGAAGCCAAATAGGGAAGTAGAAAATGGAAGTGAACTCCAGTCTTCAGAGAGGAATTCCCCTCCGTCCCTTCTGAGGATCAGTGTCTGTGTGAAGTGATGTAACTGAGGGAATGGCAACCAGCTGCTTCCAAAGAATCAGCTCTGACGAGAACCAAGAGGGTGGCCATGACGTAGTAGCATTAAGTTTCAGTGACACGTGTGGACAAGGACTGGACTTGGACTTGCACAAGGAAGCAGTTGTTGCCAAATTGGATCTGGAAGGATTGGCTGAGAATGAGAATGACGGAGGAGATTCAGGACGGCATAAAGTAGCTCAGGACGTCCGCCATCTCTGAGGGAAACAACGTAGACAATCTGACAGAGAGAAAGAGAGGGAGGGGGGGAGGGAGAGAGGGAGGGGAGGGGGAAGAGAAGGAGAGAGGGAGGGAGAGGGGGGAGTATGTAAATTGTTCGGAGTCTGGGACCAAGAATAAGGAAGTTCATGTAAAGGCCTGGTGATGAAGGGTTAATCACCTTGAATTGATGAAACTTGAGTTGCTGTGGGTGGTAGTGTTGTGCTCTATGGAATTAAAGATCCATTTCTTCTCATTTAGTGAGAACTCTAGACGTGGAAAAATGTGACACCGAAGATACAAACTCAAAACTCCAAAATGGTAAGTGTAGCTAATAGAAAGGAGGGGCAAACTGAAGGCAAGTGAAGGACGAAGCAGCCAAGCATGGCCCTGCCACTCCAGAGCCCGGAGGCTGAGGCAGGGGGAGGATGAGTGACGAGCCAGCTGAACCACGTAGCAAAAACCAAAAAAGAACAAAACGAAACAAAACAAAAACAAAACAGGCTATTATAACAAGAGAAATCTACCACTCATGATCTCTCCTCTTTCCTAAGGAGGCTGTTTGTGGGCACTGCTGGCTCCTCAACCTCAGCCTCACAACTCTCTCAACTGAGGAAATTCTGGGATTTCCCTGTAAAGCTCTTAGCCAGCAGCTTTATGCAAAGAGAATCACGAAGGGGAGGTGCTTCTGTCTAGGCTGCGGCTACTACCCATGGAGGGGCCATGCGACCAGGGACAGTGCTGAGTTAGATGAGCGTGTAATTGTACAAACGATTCTGCTGTGTGGTTAGCTGTTAACTGTTTCATGTGTGGGATATGGCATTTCATTTCTCTTACCCTGCCCCCAAGTACTCATATAAATATGAGAACCACCTCCATTTTATAGTAGAGAAAGCAGAGCTGGGACGATGAAATAAGGTGGGGAGGAACACACAGCTTTACCGTGGACTTTTGCTCTTATCCTGTGTGCTTCAATTCATTCTGCTACCAATGACTTTATTTATAAGAGTAGAAAACCCTTACCCAGCCAACTGCTCTACATTTTAAATAAGTTATATTAAGTTCTCTAACTCATTTTGATGTTATTGGAACCCAAATCTACGATTAAAGTGGTCTGATGAGCTTGTGAAGACCCAGGTGGCTCCCTCGTGGGCGCTGCCATCGATGCTGCAGAACCACCCTGAGGAACCAGCCTAACTTGCTCAGACTTTCCATTTTAAAACCAGGGCAGCCCCAGACAAACAAGCACTGGTAGGCATCTTTCATCACTCGGCACAGAACTTGTCTCTGTCTTATTGCAGCATTATTATATGACCTAGCAAAGGCCCATTTCTTCCTACATCTCCCAACACAGTCCCTGCCCCTGTGGAATCACTATACTATCATCCCTCTTTAGATATGCAGTTCGAGGAGACGTAAGCAGAGCTGAGGACTCAGATCATCAAGGCGGGATTGCCAGTCTGTGGGCTGTGGAGGAAGGGATCCTTGACATGTGGGGCCAAGGACTCAAAATGGAACCTGGGAAGAGAAAAGAACAAAGAAAGTATTGGAAGGGGAGCCTGGCACAAAGGACATTTCTTCAGGAGACACCAATCAGCAAGTTGTCCATCTTGGAAAAGTGGCTTGAGAATCCCCGACTTAACATCTGGTCCTTGAAGAAGTGCCCTTTTCCTCCACTCAGTGCCTGGATGGGAGATGGAGAGTCGCAAGTGTTGAAGTGTGCGTGTTTTCTATTTATTTCGAGTGTGTGTGTGTACGTGTGTGTGCTTGTCGTGGGAGTGTAGTTGTGACTGATGCATTCTGAAGCCATAATAGATGTTAAAATGTAGTCACCAAACTCAACTGCTGCTGATCACCTTGTCCATAGGCTAGAAAGCATGCACATCTGCTAGGTACTTGGTGTCCTCTGTAACTACTGGTACAACCAGGACACACGGAGGACCCAAGATTGGTTTGACAGGGCTCTTGCTGTTTGAGTGGAGTAATCTTTATTCTCAGTCCTCGAGGCTTGGTGGTAGTAGCTGTTCCGTTTAAGTGTCAGCTTCACAAGTACAATCTCATTTCATCTCCATAGTAACCCTCATGTTAATCTCTATTATATTCACTTCACAGCCCAAGAAGTTGAGCAGTTAAGTAGCTTGCCCATGGAACAACAGCTATCAGATCTCTTTCAGCCACTGTCCTTTGAGGATACAATTTGTAGCTAAGAAATGAATTTTAAAAAACGGCTTATTAAGAAGCATTGCATATCACACCATGCCTCTTGTACTGTGCTGGCCCTTGAGCATAGATATGTAAGCCAGAGTACTGGCTGGCTATGCTTATGCATGTTCAATACTCAAAGCAATGCTCATTAGCAAGAAGTCTATATTTAAAAGACTCTGGAAAGTAACTCTTGAGTTCCTTGTCTAACATTATATTTATCCCTGATTTGTTATCTTTGTCATACAATATCATGTCCTCCATATAATATCTAGTATTGTTTAAAAGTTCTTTTTTTTAAATCTTTCTATCTAGATAATATTGAGGGCTGGAGAGATAGCTCAGCTGTAAAATACTTTCCTCATGATATGAAATCCTGAGTTTGTTCCCCAGAACCCACATAAAAAACAGTTGGGTGTGTCTGCATGCTTTCGATCCTAGTGCCAGGCAGGCAGAGGCAGGCAGATCCCTAATCTCCTTGGCTAGCTGGCCTAACCTGCTTGGTAAGCTCTGCCTTATAAGAGCTGCTATCTCAAAAAAAAAAAAAAAATGATGTAGACAGTGCCTGAGAAATGATGCCTACACACACACACACACACACACACACACACACACACACACACACACACACACTCACACACGGGCACCACACACTCACAAACCTACAAACACCCTCGTGCTCATGAACACACATGCAATCCAAATACATGTCAACAGGGAGCTGATTCAGAATGGTCCCAGAGACAAACAAAACAAAACTCTATTCCATCACCCTAGCCATGCTACTCCCTTCCGTTTTTTTTTTTTTTTTTTTGTACATATATTTCCCCAAAGACAGTTAATATGTAGAAATAGATGTTAAAGTAACTATATTTTTTAAACTCCTCAATGGTAGCTCACTGTGCATTTGTTGTACACCTTGCCCTTTTTATTTAATGTATGGATCCTTATGCAGCTGCTAGAACCTACTTCAAGATCCAAGAAGGGAACTGCCTCATTTCTAGGTTTTCCTTCCCATCCCTCCAGGGGCCTTTCACACTGTCTAGGCCAGGCACCGTGTCTGCTGTCTGTGCCTGTAAAATACCATTTGTAGAGCACTTACTCACTGACTAAGTTTGTGTTTGCCTTATTTTTGTGTCTGTTCAAAGGGAGACCATGAGTCGCCAGGGTCTACTGAGTCAACCCAATACCAAGGGGCAGCCTTATTTGAAACTCAGTGACAGAAGCAGATCTAGAGCCCTGTTGTCACTGTTGTTTCTCCTCTACTGCTTTTCTCAAACACAGATGATCCACTTGCTTATTAGAGGTTCTCCCCGGAAATTCCAGCATTGCTGCTGGATTGTTGGCCATTTGGACCAGCACCAGGAAAAGTCCATCAGCTCTATGTGAGGCCTTGAAGGCTCTCATCAGCACAGAGGCCTCTAAGATAACAGTTTCCAGTGGATTTGAGAATCAGTGCTTCTTGGGGGAGGAAGGGACAAGGAGCCCAGAGCTTTCTTTCAATCTTCTTTGTTTTGTCACATGTCAAGACTGAAGAAATAGTCTCTAATCCCAGCATTCAGGAGGCAGAGGCAGGCAGATCTCTGTGAGTTGAAGCCCAACCTGGGCTACATAGAGTTCCAAGCCAACCTGGTCCCCAAAGGAACCCTTCTGTTACCTGTTAACCCAAGTGTGTTTGCGGGATGATTCTCATGGCAATGTCTTATTTGTGTGAAGTTTAAGAACAGATACAGTTGAGTGAGACATTCAATTTATCCACTTTACTTGAAATCTTAACACCATCTCATGGTGTTGGATTGTAAATGCACTTTATACCTTTGTGTTGTGTATCACTATAACTGGAAAATTTATTTTGCATCTAATTGTCATTGTGTTGCATTAATTTAATAAAATATTTTATTTATTAAACATTTGTTTCTTAAGCCATTCTGTTTAACCTCCAGTAGAAAAAAGTCACTTAGAATTCCTGCATCCCTGTCTTTATTCTCTACCCTCCCTACAGCTTTTATCTTTACATAGCATGTTACTGAATATGAATGATGAAAACCATCAAAATGATTCATTAAAAATAATCTATTAGGCGCTGGAGAGAGTTTCATGGTTAAGAGCACTGTTGCTCTTGCAGGGGACACAGGTTCAGTTCATAGCATCACATGGTCCTTCACAACCACCTTCCAGGGAATCAATCAGTCAATCCAGTGACCTCTTCTGGACCCTGGGTACTGAAGGCACGTGAAAAGGCAGGTGGATCTCTGTGAGTTTGAGGCCAGCCTGATCTACAGAGTTCCAGGACAGCCAGGGCTACACAGAGAAACCCTGTCTCCAAAACATAACAAAATCTATAAAGCACTTTCAGTCTCTTTTGCTTTATAGGTTTGGGAAAATATGAAGAAAACATTCAAAAGTCTTCCATCCAAATTGGAGATCTGGGGGTGGGGTGGGAAGAGAAAGAGTGGGTCACCCAGAACCGGGGACCTGAAGGGCTTTGCTCCAAGAGCACACTCAGGTCTGTGAACCTGGAGGTGTGCTAGCATTACTCTGTGACGATGCATGCTCTTTAGTCGCCAGGCTCTGAAAAGGAAGTGAGAAACCTCGAACTAAGTAAAGTTCAGAACCCAAGACTTCTCTGGAACCACAGGGAAAATCTGTAGGTTTTTTTTTTTTTTTAAGAAAAAACAAATATCATCACACTCACCATTAACTAAGGTGTGGATCTTTGCATGTGTTGTCTCTCTTGATCATTTCCTCAGCAATTCAGCCTGAAGAAGCTTTTGACCTTTGGATAATTTCTTGACATCAGATACTCTCAAAGCATGGTGGCTGTTCCTAGTAACATACAGCCCACTCCTGGTGTTTTTAAAGGAAGATCTGTATCTTTATAGTAATAATGACACACTATCGTCTATGGCAGTCCTTGGACAATCAATGGACTTACCAGCAGAAGGTCCCACGACAGGGTTGGATCATGTTTCAACATGTTGATTAATGTCTTTTCTCTGAATGGTGTCTTCCACCTACACACACACACACACACACCTTTGTAGTCTAAGAATCAATCTTCCTCTCCCAGCCAACACCAAAGCTGAGAAAAACAAAGTGCCATTTAGCCTCAGAAGTTAGTCTTCCACTCCCACTACAAACAGCTCAGTGACTCACATTTACATTTTACTGGGAATTGTGAAGGAATCAAAGAAATACTCTATATGCCTTCATGGAGCTTGCAGTCTCACGGAAGAGACAATGTAAACATTCATTTAAAATATTAATGACCGGGCCGGGAGTGGCGCACGCCTTTAATCCCAGCACTCGGGAGGCAGAGGCAGAGGCAGGTGGATCTCTGTGAGTTCGAGGCCAGCCTGGTCTCCAGAGTGAGTACCAGGATAGGCTCCAAAGCTACACAGAGAAACCCTGTCTTGAAAAAAAAAATCAAAGAAAAAATTAATGACCATTAATTCATGTGTTAGAATATAAGCATTTAGGATGATGCCTGGGGACTTTGAGAAGATAAGATGGTGAATTCTGAACAGATGAGGTTTGACTTGGACATGGTTTGTCCCTCAGATAGGCATAAACTGGAAACTTGGTCTCCAAAGCAGTGGTGTGGATGGGATGGATCCTTTAGGAGCTGATGACTAGTCCTGAAGAGGAATTGATGACTTTCTATGGGAAGTGCGTCAGGCCATCTGGTTATTGTGGGAAGCTAACCTCTCTCATGGATGGTTTGGATGGGATTAATTCATATCGTGGTTGTTCTGATGAGATCTCAGTTTCCTTTGCTGGCTCCCTGTTTTCATCTCTTCCTCTGCGATGCCTTCCGCACTGCACACTGCTCACCTCTCTCATGTGAGTTCTGCCACATGATGCTTCTCACTGTGCACTGGTGCTATCCAAGGCCTTTGCTAGATGTGCGGTGCCGATTTGGACCCTGAAACCTCTGAAAACATAAGCCCAAGAGACTTCTTTCCCTTGTAAAGTAACCACCCTCAAATTTAAGCTAAAAAAAAGTCTCCTAAGGCCTCAGAGTCCTTTGCAGAGGACAGCAGACTCACCGTGGCCACTGCATCGGGAGCAGTTGCCAACCCTGGATGGCACAGAAAGTGACTTCTTCCAGACAGTATAACAAAGACCCTTTGGGCTTCCTTACACAGGCAGTGGGGATGTCTAGTGGCACTGCCTCTGTGGTGGATAAGCTGGCAATTTCTATCAGATCACACATGACCTAGCATTTCCATTTCTGAAGTTTCCCATGTGTGCAAATTGTCACATACATAAGCTTATCCATTGTACCTTTTTTCAGAATGACCGAACATTTAAAACAACCTCAATACCTGTTAACAAGGAACTGATTAAATAAGTGCGGGTATATCTCAACAATAGACTACTTTAGTAGACAACTACAAAAGCAAATAAGGAATCCTTTTGGGGCTAATATGGGAACAATCTCTAAGATGTACCTATTGTTAGGAAAAATAAAGAACAAAGGATACATTACACTTTACTCGGGATGGTATATTATATGAATATTCATTTGCATTCTAGGTGCTAAGTATGGGTAATCTATATCCTTAATTTTTACATTATGGGCTATATGTGTCTGTTCATCAAATACAAATTTTGCACTTTGGGAAAAGAAAAAATTGCATTTGGCTTGTATTTGCAAAAAAAATACATGTTTAGAAGAATGAATGAGAAATTGATAGAAAATGCCTTTTGTGGTAAATTGGAACCCTAGTAGGCAAATTTCAACAAACTGCCTCTTGTATCTCTTAATTTTTTTCAAGACAGGGTATCACTGTGTAGTCCTGGCTGTCCTGGAACTCTGTATACTAGGCTGTCCTCAAACTTAACAGACATCCACCTGCCTCTGCCTCTGCCTCCTGGGTGCTGGGATCAAAGGCATGTGCCACCACCACCACTCAGCTGCTTTTGAATGTTGTAAGCATATTATTATTTCAGATAACTAAGTTATAATTCAAGGTCAGAGCTCAATTATTTGCCTTCCAAGGGCTTTCTTTCCTTCACTTTAAGACAATGTTAATTCTGTTAATATATAAGGATAATATAAAAATCAGAGAATTTAAAAGCTCAATTCACTGTCCCTTGAATTTCAGTGTAGACCAGAATTCAGCCCGAATCAATTCATTTTCTTTTATAATTTTTGGCAAGTTTCCTTCCAGGCATAGGGTCTGATTTATGGACACACAGCAGATTGTTTATTCAGGGGATCTGACTATGCAGCTGTAGGGTTGGATCTGGGGCATTGCAGACGAACAAATGCATCACACCAGCCCATTATTTATGTTTCCGAGGATGAAATGATGGCGAGATCTACATCATACTAACTCCCAGGAATGAGCCTCACTTCCATCTGTGCAGTCTGAGAAATGAGTGTGTGTTAACACACTCTTGCAAGTGAAGTTTGGCAAAACAGCTGTGGGGGTTTTTTTTGGTCAGTAATATGGGGCCTGTGTTGAGTCTTGAAATCCCCTAAACCTAGGCTTTCCCTCTCACTTAATATCTTGGTTTCTTCCTGGCAAATTTAGCTGTCTGCTTGGAGATTAGGTATTCCAGCCTTAAAAAAAAAATC